CTGCTGAAAGGGTTCAATGTATAATTTAATTTTGGTGGTACCTCAGTTACTTTGTATTTTAACATCATTACCTGGACTGCCAATCTCATACTCATCAAATCCCATTGTTAAGAAAGTTAATTGCTTCTCCAAACTCCCTGTTGAGATGTCTGTCTAGTTTTCTCTTCAACAGCACATTACATTTCATTTTCAATCCCTTGCCTATGATAAAGGATTTTCTTTCAAAATATTTTAGACTAAAATCTCAACTTCAGCTACTGTTATAAATTTCTTCCAATAATCACTTATTTAAGGCTACACTGCAAAAACAGCAATGCCTTCTATCTCAACCATGCTAAGATCAAATTGTACAGGGAGTTAAAAAAAAAAAAAAAAAGCTTTCTTCTGTAAATAAGCTTGAATTCTTATTTTAAGCAGCACTGAAGTCTTCCCATCAAAAACTTGTTAAGATCTACAGAATGGTATACAGCTGTCCCCTTTTTCCCCAACTTCACTTCACCTCTCACCCCTCCTTTTATGCCAACCTTACTTTCCCTTTCTGTCCCTGCACGTTGGGGGAAGATCCTGACTTCCCTCCTTCTGCTCCCAAATATGAGGTACTCTGGGTTCTGCTTGACCTCACATAGCAAAACTGCACTGGTTCTGTTCACCACACCAGGCCAGAGCAGGGCTGGAGATGGTAAAGAAGAACTTTACACACCAAAGACCAAAAGCAAAAAGGAAGGACAACTCATTGCAAAAGAACTCATGTCCCACATCTTATGGTTCACCAGACCCACCGTAAAACGACACAGAATGAGAAAAGCGGGCCAGTTCTGACCTGCCGAAGGCAAGAGAAGAGGATGTAGACTCCAAGTGCACGTGCGGCAGCAGCTTTTACCAGGGGGTTCTCACTGTGGTTCAGGCCAAGCAGCAGAGTGATGCACAGTATCTGTCGGTCATTCTGCAATGATAAGCAGTCATGGCAGTGGAGAGGAACTGGAAAAACCCCTGTCCCACAGAGAGGGACAACTGATAAATTGTCTGAAAGACCCTACTACGTGGAATTTGTAAAGCTACCATTCAAATCATTCTTTTCTTTAAAAGAAACTGACTGGCATTTCAGGATGCTACAAAGGAAAGAGGAATGCTTCCAGGGAAAGTGATCTTGTTGCTGTCAGTCGATTTCCTTCTTGATTTTACCTATCATCCAAGTGCAAAAGGTAAATGGCCCTTCTGAATAAAACAGAGTGGATCAGTTGCTTTTTCATGTCCTACCTCAAAAGGTACCTCACAGACCTACATGAAAGCAGTTGAACTGTGGGAGAGTCACTCTTCCCATTTCATAAATGAGGAAAACAAGGCAGACTAAGTTAATGCCGGTTAGTTTACCGACCCACAACAAAAAAAAAAAAATCAACTGTGCTGCATCAGAGCAGGGGTCAGAGTGGGCACTGACTTGACCCTGGCATAGTCATAAGGAGAAGAGGGTGTATGGGATCAAAGTACAGAGGGATGAAGTACATGCTGTGCTTGAAGAAACCAGACTGAAAATTCCAGAGATACTGCTGTACTAGCAATTCTCGGGCAAATGAGTTCTGGCAGAATACTCCCCATCAAGAAGGGCACAGTGACATAAAAGGAGCTGCACAATGCAGTGGTGATACACTGCCAAGGCTTTAATGTTTGGAAGCATATTTCATGTTGCAAAAGGAGAGTTAAGGCCAACACATTTGTTTGCTTCTGCCAGGGCAAACACTGCAGTTTAATGTTTTAAAAGCCAGCCAAAAGGTAAAAAAAACCACACATGCAAATTGGTGAACAACACCCGTCCACTGCATTAGCTCAGCTATCATTTCCAACACTTAATCTGCAAAATAGCAACCCCTCTCCCCATCCCCGTGTAATGAAATTCTCGCCCTCCAGCTCCTGTGCATCATAGCCAAGGCTGAGTAGTCATGGCAGGGCCAGATAGCTTCTGTGATCCACAGTTTAATTGTGTTGTCAGACTGATTACTCCCAATGTTACATTTTCTAGTCTTCGTAATATTTTTTACATTCTGAACAAGCTGTGACTATTGAAAGCCTTCCCTGACCCCCACTCCGTATAAATTTTAAAAGGCTTTACATTACTATAATCAGGTAGACAAAAGCAAAATCTCAATAGGTAACAGGGAAGCCCTTTAAGTACTGCATTTTTACCTGCAGACTGCTAAAAGCTTCTGGTAAGATAGAAGAAAGAGCATCACAGGCACTCGTCTGAAGAGTTGCATGTTGAGAATTCTGAAGAGCACCAGGCAAAGGGCCATTTAACATCATAGTCCAGAAAGCTACAACCTACAGAGAAAAGGCTGGATTTACCTATTTAAACACAACAATTATCTGACACTGGCTAAACTTGAAAATATTACCAAAATGCCTACAGTACATTGTCTTTTTTCTATGATCTTTAAGACATACTTATAGCAGATATCATAATCAAGCAAAGTGATTATTACAACTTTTTATAACCCTAAAATAATCACACAGCATCCAGCTGCATAACTTATTTTTCAGCTATTTGAGTACTGCTATAAGGTACTTATTGAGTTCTATTTACTTCCTTCTCAAGGGCACATATGTTTCGATTAGATTGCATTAGGTAGAATTACAATTCCATTCTTAAAACCACATAGTTAGGTATTTTCATTTGCCTGACAATTTACATTCATACTAAGTAACAAAAATGCAGTGGTGCTAGACACGTTTCCTGTCTTCTAGAGTCACTGGTGACAGGCTCAAAATTTAGCACACCCTTAAGTAATTTTTAAAATTGCCTGCTGATCACAGAAATGAGTTTTAAATAGGCTTGTGCTACTAGTAGAATATCAGTTCCTCAGCTTCAGTGAGCTTGTCAAGAAAATCCCTTTTTTTTTTTCCCCCCAAACGTGAGGGCAGCTCAACACTGGAACAGATTGCCCAGAGAAGTTGTGGAGTCTCCATCCTTGGAGATATTCAAGACCTGACTGGACGCAGTGCTGGGCACCTTGCTCTAGCTGACCGTGCTTGAGCGGGGGGTTGGAGTAAATGATCTTCAAAAGGTCCTTTTCAACCTCAACTATTCTATGATTCTGTGAAACAGCCTCAAGCAATGGATTTTTCTATAACCGCATATATTATGGTACCAGCTACCCTCTCTTCACTTGTGAGCAGCCAGAATATTCAGGCAAGCTCTTGTAACAATGCAAATTCACCAAAACTCTAAAAGTGTATTTGTCTACGTTTTATGTAGCATTGATACCACATGCAGTATCTGCGCTGTTCCTCCAGCTCCCAGACTTATAGCAGGCAGGAAAAAAAGAGATGAAGAAAGGCAGACAGTGTTAATACCATGTTAATACCAGTGTTAATCACCTACCTCCAAACCAAAATGAATTCCGGTACATTTGCTTTTAAACATATTTCAAGAAGACAAGAATTCTTAAAGCACAAAGCTCTTAAACGTTTTCACACAGCACTTTCCACTGTGGTAACTAGTAATGCAAGAAAGCGATGAAAGTGATGACAGCCTTTACTAGGGTCCTTACTCAACTTTAACAGACAGTGGTCACATCTCAGGAACACCCACATACATACACTTAAAACAATAGCTATCAACCTCACCAGCTCACTTCAGCAAAAGAAAACAACCACAGTAGAACAAAATACATTAGTGAGGAAGGCCACCTTTCGCTACAGTTTCATCCAGGAAGTCTACAAGAAATTACATATACCAGGCCCTACAGTGGTGCAGGGTGCTCCCTTTCTCCTTTTCTGCAATTGCTTTATCTGTATTCATGCCAGTAACTTTGTAGGGAATTCAAGAAATGAAGCCCAATTAAGTGCGATCTCAGATGGAGCCCACACACTTACCACACTGACTGGTACTCTCTGATCAGGGGCAATGGCTGAATCAGGCTTGTACTGCTGTACTATACCTGTGCCCAGCTCCTCCAGAAGCTGCAAGAAAATGAAAAGCAACTAGGTCTTCACGAAGGATGATTCAAGGACCATGAAACAATGGCAATTTTTACCTAGGACTATTCTTATTTACCCAGGGAACAAAAATAAGGTTCAGAATTAGTTTAGACTCTATTCTGCCCCTGTTAGAGAAGAGGTTAGAGGAAAAGCCTTTCTTAAAAAAAGTCTCCAGCTAGGGCAGCATAACAAACTGCCGGGCAAAGAGGGAATCTCTTTGAGCTTTCCTTTGGGTGAGAGACTAAAGATTCTGCAACAACTGATGTTAAATCAGGGAAGAGCCAGTGCTACAGTCCTTGCATTTCCAAAGGTTCCTGATGCCTTAGCAGAGCAAGAAATCTGTGCAAATAATGCAAGACTGCAACCAGAAGGTGCATTTCTTAAATTGGCGAGGTGCTGCATCTCCCAAGGAGCTATGGCAGGGCACCAGCTCTTCTTTATAGCATGCTACATGAAACACGCATAGATGCACTGAATATTCAGCGTTACTCATCCATATTTGCAGAGCACACTGATAGGTAAAAACTAACTTGATAAAACAATATTGGTGTTTCCTCATGCTCTTACTTTGGCTCCATGAAGCTGAATAGATGGATCCATTTCTTCCATGCATTTGCAAGCCAATTCTCCAAGCTCTAGCAAATAGCTCTGAGCCATAGAGAAATAGCCTTTTACAAGAAGAGCCAACACCTAAACACAAATAAAAAAAAATTCATTCAGTATTTTTTCCTTCTATTAAACCAAAATACCCCAAAGGCACCTATAGAGCCCCTTAACAGGCTAATCAGCACAGTGACCATATACTAAACTCTAATGTAACAGATAGACCTTGTAGCACAATAGAGAATTGTATTCTCTAGTACTGAGAATACTAGAGCTAATTAAAAACCTCCTGATTCCATTATTTTGTTCAAAAACGGGCAGCAAAAGCATTATCAGGTAGCAACATGATGAATTATTTACTGCGAGTTACAGTCTCCTGTAGCTAAAAAAACTAAGTAAGAGTGCCTGGAAGAGCAATACATTCTGTATCTCCTGTAATATTACTGATGTGATCTGTGAAGCTAGATTCAACAAACAGCCATCGTTCCAGAAAAAGAGTGAGACTTTTTGGGATGCACATTACAAAATCTTAACGTTTTATGTGGTTGCATAAAGAAAAAGAGGGCCAAGTCTCAACGTTCACGGGCACTTCTTTAGTCATACCCATACCCAGCATCATTCCATGGTTCCTTTGCACATAGGTTCTTTGATTGCAAGGTTTCTCCTTGCTTTTTTCTAGCAAAACTTTAATTTAGATTCTGTATTGAGTAGTTTACCTGGGGAAGACTTAGCCTTAACCAGATGCCAGCATGCAACTGGGAAATACGTAAAAATAATAAAGGTAACAAAATCACAGGCAGATGAACTTGCTATTATAGGTTAAGTGTAGAGTGGCTTTCCTGTGGGCACAGACATGCAATCAAAACGTTACTGCTCTTTCAGTCACAATATATCAGACTTGCTTCACTAGCAAATGCATTAGCCTACATCTCACTGAAAGAGCTAGGAGCAGATGCAACTCATGTCATGACTAAGGCTCAGCTGGCAGGAAGAAATTTCATCTGGTACCAAGCGGTTCATTTCACAAACTAGCTGTTCATCCCCACCTGTAAGGATTCCAGTCGAACAGGAGAGGGTTCATAAACGCTTCCAGATGGAAAGTTAGCATCACTGTCAGAACAGGAATCCTCTCGGGGTAGAACAACGATGGAAATACAGAGACGGATGAGCCAGCATGGTTCTGAAGACATATTCCCTGGGTTATCTGGAGGCTCCCCTTCCAAGGGAAGTGTTTTTCTCCGCTGCTCACAAGAATTAAAACGATGAGGGGTTCCAGTACCACTGTTATTTAGTCCTGAAGAACTGGGCTGTTGCAAAAGCAGCTGCACTTCTGGTAAAGGTGCTTGGATGGATACTATAGATCCTAATAATGTGAGACTAGAAACTCGAACGTTAACATCTGCAAAATATAACGGTGAAGGGGGAAGAGAAAAAACAGTCTATTAGCATCTCACTAATGCATCAGCACTCTTCTTCAGTAGTTTTCAAACAAGACAGATCATAACATAATCTGGTAGTGATACACCTATTTATGTATATACCAACCGCAAGAAAATAAATCCCAACTATTGCACAACAGCCAACACTGAATTAAGGCATAACGTATAAAAAAGAGGATCCAGCCAAACAGAATGCAAACCTTTATGACAAATGTATGGCTTTATCTGGTTCCAAACTCTTGTCAGCAGACCAGGCTTTAAACGGTTGTATGGTGCATTTGAAACCAAATTTGCAAGGCACTGAAACACACAAAAGAACATACATGGAATGGTGGTTACAATGTCAGCCTGGCCTCCAACAGATTTGTTTTTACATCTGCAATTCAGGTCATTTAGACAGCTAATTATCTGAGGGCACCTGAAAACAAGTGACCCAGTTACCTGCTTTTAGAAAACTGGTTACAAGCCTGACTTCTAGAAAAAGTGTTTTACTACTGTGACCTGGCAAAAACACCAAGTAGTTTCAACAGCCCATACTTTTTTCCAATTACCAAAAAAAAGCCATACTTTCTTGAATAGCCAGCTTTCTTCTTCCTTTTCAAAATGGTAATTTGGATTCAAGTCTTTAAGTCTGACTCTTAAGAACCATTTCATAGCCTTTTCTGAGATGGCTGAAGCGACGTGAAAGAAACACAAGAACAAGAAAATTGTGCTGAAGAGGAAAGAAACCATAGGACTTTGCAGGAAGATTCAACTGACAAAGTTTTGCAAGACAAGATGATAGTGTATTTTTCCCCCCTCCCCCTTACTCCTCAACAGCTACAGGAATTTCTGTGCAGTCTTTCAAGCCTTACTCTATAGACAGAGATCAGCTCTCAGACAGCATTTGAAACATTTACAGGGTAATTACCTTGATTATTTGTGTCAGCGTTTGGGAGGAAGATTCTGCTACTAGGGCTAGCAGCAGGCAGCGGTGCAACTCTCGGATGCTAGAAGCAATAGTTACAGAGAAGGGAGTAAAAGCTCTCTTGTGATCATTAGCATCCTCAGCAACAGAAAGAAACTGCTTAGAACCTTCCAGTATGGCTGAGAGAACTTGAAGAGAAGAGGCACGTGTCTGAAATGATAAAAAAAGAACCTTATTACAAATAAGAAAATTCTCAACTTCTCTTTTACATACTTCTTCCTGTTTAACCTGTGGACACTACACCACACCTTTTCTCTGCCTAGGAAAGCATTGCCTGAGTAAGGACTGAAGGAACTCCTAACATCATTTTTCCTCAAAGTTGAGTTCCAAGGTAACTTTTTACAACACAAGAGACCTTATCTTTGGTTCTTTCAAAGCAGTTTAGTTACAGAGCTCTAGATATACTAAGTTGTTAGCAAAAATTCATCAGAATGATTTGACATTTCACCCTTTATCGGAGTTCTTTTCTTTTATCAGCCAGGGAAGACTTTTTGAGAATCCGCTATTTTCCCTTAGGCTTTCTTGAATTCTCATCTCAAACATGTGATGCAAATCATATTTTTACTATGCAGCATAACTTTGGGAACCTTTGCATGAGAAATAAGTGTCATGTCTGTTCTCTCCCCCAGGTAATTCTGGACTTTGCAGATTTTTAACCAACTATCAATGATAAAATATGAAAAGAAGAAAGAAAGAAAGATTACCATTTCCATTAGCCTTTGGGAATTTCGTTTTAACTTAAATTTTGCACGTTCTTCTTTCATTACCTTATTTCGCTTCTAGTGAGTAGCAATTAATTGCACGCTTATCCTGGCAATGCTAGCTGGAACACATATTTCTATAACATTAGAACTTTCTTTGCTAAAGCTCCTTTATTTCTCAATTTGCAGCAATCACAATCAGTTTAGAGCAACCATATCACATGAGAAATTTCCTCTTCTGTTCCTCTTTTAACACTTCCTTTGAGCTGATGGAGGAGTTTAAAATTTATGAGTCTCTTTCTTCAGCAAGAGAAAATTCAATTCCAACAACCATTTCTCATAACTTTAGACAGTATACAACCAATCCTTTGTTCCATTAAACAATACATCCTCTTTCATTTTTTGTGGTACTGTGACAAAGGCAACACAAATCCAGGAGCTAGAGAAGGCAAATCCAGGTCAGAGAAGGCAAATCTTAAGATGAATACCTGAAAAATACAATGCTTTCAGTACTACAGAACTGCCTCACCTTTGGAGAAGGGTCCTTTAAAGCAATAGTCATCAAGGACACCGACTGGGGGCTGCCAATACCAGGTGCATCAGGAACAAATGCTGACCAGTAGCCATAAAGAATTCTTTTTTCTATCGATTTTATAGCAGAGAGGAAACAGGCCAGAGCCCCCTGACGAACTTTGGCTTGATAAGATCTGAAAAACAAACAAACAAGAAGACTAATGAAGTAGTAGCAGAGAAAAGTAATGGACTTAATCTCCTCCATTTATGTTAGTGGCTAGCTGGAAGAACAGCAAGTGAATGCTTTATTCTTTCTCTTCCTGTTTTTGGTCTAAATTTAGTTTCAAACCAATATTAATTATTGCCCTCCAATTTTCTTATGTCACCACATAAATCAAAAGTAAAAGGGATTTCTTCAACCGTTGCGTTTAAGAAAAAAGTTCTGGAATCCTGCAGAAGTGTAGGGAGTCTGCACATATGTAAAATTGGTGCCAGATCGACAAGAACAAAAAGTATCATTGATTGTGATACATAAGTTTAAATTGTTAAAAACAGCAGTATTATTTGCTACCATGCTTTATGTTTACATAAACAACAATAACCTCGTTTTGCTTTGTATTCCGCCTTCAGCATCAGAATACTCCGACTCACTGCTGCTGATTCTTTTCCAACTATTATAATGTGAAGATAAATGATCCTTTCCAGCAGGTGTGTATGCAACATCTAACGCATGAGTCCGAGGATCTGAACAAGGACTGTTCTGCACATCCCCCAAGCGTAATTTCAGCATGTCTATTCCATGGATTGATTCATTCTCTGTATCAGCCAAATCTTCTTTTGCGTCTTCCCCAAACTCTCCCTTCTTTTGTTTCCCTTTGGACTTCTTTCTTCGATTCTGTTTTAAGAAGAAAAATAGATTTTTTTAATCTTTTGGAATAATACCTAGAAATATGTGTAAACATTTTACAGTTGTAATTTTTTTACTAAGGGAAAAAGGTGTCATTTGAGACTAAAACAAACTGTTAATCCAGAAAAAACACTGTGTAATTTAATAAATCATGTCTTCAGTGAAGTTCATCAACCCAGAATTTTACAAATTTTAGTTTCTAAATGAGTGATTTTTAGATAAAATTTAGCTTATGAAAGTTATCACAGCTACTTATCATCCTATATGCAACAATACTGCACATAGAATATCCTGTGCAATAATACTGCACGTACACAGAATAATCACACACCATTAATATATGAGAGCCTGCAAACCTGCTCATTAGTAATAACACTAACTTCAGCTTTGGCCTCTGTTTATCAGCAAATCATAAGATTTCCAATAAAACTTTTCTTTAAAATCGTATTTCACACAATGATTAAATAAGAGGAACAGCAAATGTTCCTGCAGTGCTTCTAGATTTACAGCAGGTATTTAGCATCTAAAAAGCAAAAAGTCAGCAACATGACTGTATAACTTTATTTTGTCTAATGTCTTTCAGATAATCTGTAATCCAAAATGCTTCAACAAAGTTAAATAATAACCTGTAGAGGGATTAAACAGAGCAGATGGGGCGGGGGGGCAGGGGCAGTCTCTAGATGAACTTGCCTTCCCTGCGAAAAAGTCAAATAATTGGGCAAGTGTTAGGGGAGAAAGAATGCAATTTATAAAATGAAAAGCTCAGACTAGTCTGCAAGCAGTCCCACGTCTGCAGGCCAAGAATTCTTGGCTACAGATGAATAACTGATGCACACAGAGTCAGGAAAAACAACCTCTGCAGAGCCATTTGTTTTAGTCATCTGAGTTTACAAAGCAATTTTATTCAGTGCAGAGATTTATAATCAATAAAGTAAAGAACATGAAATGTATCACATGCTCAGAACACAAAGACACTGTCAGACACTAGTATCATGTCGGGTAACACATAACAAGATCACAACAAATAGACACATGCACACAATCTGCATGCAATAGAAACAATATATTTTCAGGTTACCCCTGTTTGCTTAAAGGCAGTCAATTCTGATTGTTCCTGTTTGACGGGCGACCTTTTATCATACTGAGGTAACGGAGCTGGGTACAAGGCAGGAGGCATTTCTATGCTCAGTCCTGGCAGTCCATGAAACATACATTTCTAGAACAGCAACAAAAAACGTTAGCTTTCTTCTTACTGTATATTTATTCAGGTGTTCATCAATTTTCAGTATGGCTTGCGATCCTTTCTCCAGGTCTTGCCTCTCCCCATGCTATGTAACTTGTATGCAACAGCTTTGCAACATCTGAAATCAACTATCTCTAGAAGGATTTAAAGTAGGTCTGAAAAAAATGAGCTTCCTATCTCTCTCTCACATTCCTTTTTGAGGAGAGGAGGTAAGATGCTGAGAGAGACGAACCTAATGCCTTTTTTCTTTGTATCTCACACTACATTCTTCCTCTGTGCTTAGGCTTCTCTGCTCCCTTTTCTAATCTTCTCATACTGTTTCTTACTTAACAAACATCTGGAACATGCACCTTCCAGATTCTGCCTCTCTTTGAAGGTGTATTTGAGCATTCACCTTTAATACTGCAAGAAGGGATCCAAGTTGGTCAGTTTGCATCAGTTTCATCTTCCCACCATTTAGAAGTGACTGGATACCTTTCAGTGCATTTTGCAGCAACTGAAAACAAAAAACACAAGAATTATTTACTTTTTCTTCACAAAACTTTTAAGGTTTGCATCTTTCAAGTGACCTTCTAAGCAGTTATGGTTTTGCTCAGCGTAACTGCTGAGACAATCACTTAAGCCATCTGACTGAAAAACCAGAAAAGGTTTGACTATTTGAGCAAAATCTCAGGTAACAATATTCCAAGTCACAAGCGTAGTACATCACTTCTGCCAAAGAGGAAACGTTTGATTATAATACAGTAACCTTTTGAATTCAGAATTACGAAGTGACTTGAATGTCCTGCTAGAAGTTCCATTAGAATTTCCTAATTGAGTGTTCTGGACAATTAGGCTCACACTTACCATGCAAAAGGTGATGTCGTCTACATCAGAGGTTTTCGAAGACTGCAGAATACTTAGAAAAGTTTGAAAACAGACACTTCTGTAAGACTCATCCAAATATGGCTGCCCAGGCACACTAAAATAAAAGCAGGAGGAGTCAAATTGTGGTTTTCAGTCCATCACACAGCTTTAGAAAATTATACAAACTCAGATCCAAGCACTCCTGCAGACAGGAGAGTACACATCCCAGATGGATGGATGGCTTTTAGACAGGGATAAACTCTATCACTATAAAGAACAAAAAAACCCCATTCTGCACGTAGAGCCAATACAATCATAGCATGCTGTTATCTACTCTACTTCTATTGCCACCTTATCAACTACAATAAATTTCCACACTTAGCTCAGCAAGCTGTCATGTCTATAAATGCTAATGTTTTTCATCCCACACTTTTTGTACAGTCAAGCTCTACATGACAGGCTCTGAAAAGCTTTTAAAAAAGCATTCTTGCAGTAAAACATTATTGCAGTAAGAGTCATACTGTATTCTTACCTACGAAACAAAAGCCCTAAGAACTGAAACTGAGAACTCGTTGAACAAACTTCTGTAACCCAACGGTTTATGAACTAGAGCCTTGCTTCGCTCTTCCCCAAAACAAGTGTGTGCACATGGCATCCCATTCACAGTAGAGGTATGGCTATTCCTCTGGGAAAGAACTAAGATAATAGCTAAAGATGCTACCAAATCAGTTAAACTGCATGAGAGCTTTTTAGGCAAAATGTGGCACATAAAAGGACCTTGAATGACTTTTGCCTTTTCCCTAGTTTTCATGAAGTCTGGGCAGCCTTAACGTGCTGAAACACTTTAACATCCTCTTGGACGGAAGGGACCTCTGAGACAATAGCTTAGAGCGTTAAAGTTTCAGACTTCACATTTATGCATATACAGCTTACTGGTCCTGCATTCACCGTCTGGCACAAAGCAAGGAGACTAGCTGATCACGCCATTAGATGTGCATCTTCTAAAGCATCCATTCCACCATCTGCAAAAGCTGCTACACACCTGAGACACAGGTTTGCCATGCTGCGTATTGCTGCCCTTCTGAGCTCCACATCTGGCTGAGCAGAATCACTGAACTGTAGCAGAAGTCCAGTCTTCCCCAGCAAATCTGGGAGATACTAAAACAAACCATCAAAAGTTATTGTGGGTCAGCACTCTCCCTTCAGCCTACTGGTCCTTCCACATATCTGTGCTAAACAGATACGACAGCTGCAAATTCAAATTTCGTACAAAGAGGTTTACTAATGTGACGAGACAAAAGTCACTTGCAAACTTCTCTTATCTTGGATTAAACATACATCAGTCATGACTATGGTTCAGACTGAGTCATAATTCATGCTTTCTTCCCAGACATAAAGCTCAGCTATCAAACTGCTGTAGTTATACAGGCTACAAGCCCACACAGGCTGACAGCTCCAACACGGCGCGCATGCACCCATCACCACCTCGCTCCAGCCAAACAGCAGGAAACTTCTCTGCAGGCTGCCAAGAATTGGCAATTGCTAGGGGACTCAACACATCGCATATCAGTCATACAGCAGAAACAAGGGCTTCATACAAACTTCAGGCCTGAAACTTGATAGCCTCCTCTTTGAAATAGCTTTGCGTCCACTGTACGCTAAAGACATGACCTGGTTACAGGATAAATTTCAGGATTCTCAATGGAGCCTGTTGAGTAATGTGCAATTTAAAGCACCCAGCATTCTTCCTGCCTGACACACAGACGTACCAAGCTGCTTAGTCTCCAGATACGACATGCACTTCCTTTAGTAGTGCTCCTTTGGTTCATACCAGACACTAGGTGGTCCCTACAACTGCAGCCTGCTGGTATAGACATATTTGTCATGGGAAGAATGTCTGTTATCTATTGATGACTATAACACACATCTAACTCACCTGGAATTTAACTTTTCCACAAATACCAGGCACTACTTAAATGGGATCTAATCTTTATATAAAGGGTTCGGTGGTCCAGGAATGTGATATATTTTCTATTCTTCCTTTTGGAAGAAAATAAAGTATAAATAGCAAGGGTTGCAAATTTTTAGTGCTTACTTTCTCCTATTTGTAAACTCACCTTCTGACATTTAGGTCCATTATTGTATACAAGAGCTGCTAAGGCTTGCAGAATTTCAACATGTGTCCAAGAGCTGCATTGCTTAAGAGCAGAGATGGAGTAGGAGAGAAGAAAATTCAAGTTCTGTTCATCAACTATCACCTGTGATAACGAAAAAGAATTGCAGTCAAGAAAAGAGCATCATCATGTACTGTTGAAGTCAATGTATCTGCCTCTTGATGGTTACGGACCCAGGTGATCTGGCTGTTAAAATTACACACCATCACAGAAACAGCCTACATTTAAGAAATGGATAAATCGACAGAAGCATCTTAAAACCAAGAGCATTTCTTACAGTGTATCACTCGTGACTGAAAGCTATTCTTATATGAGGAATCTCTCAACCGTGCTACAGCCACGGATCAGTACATCCGCTAAGAATAAATAAACGCTAAAACGAAAATTGGAGTGACTCTGTACAAAGGCCTGCTCCACGGCCTCACGAAACAGGGAGTAGTGGGGGAGCAGGGATCTGGCATGCAGGGAAGGGAGGAGCATGGCTAAACCTTCCATACCTGAAATCTGTTAAGTAAGTGATGGATAAGCTGGCAGACTTTGCTGACGAGATGTTCCTGATCAAAATTAACCAGCTGACAGGCTTGGACAAGCAAAGCACAAACATCCTGGAAAAGAAAATCTCAGTTCATTATTTAGAGACAACAAAGCTAAAATGGAAACCACATCATCAGCTAAGAGTTTGATCACACATCCAGATCCATGCATGGACAACACTAAGATCCATACGGATTGATAATGTAACGAAATGAATGAAGCTCCAGTTGGTGAGCTTCCCCTCATCCATCCGCAGACATCCATCCAGATGCAGGTGCACACTTACACGGATTCGAATCGCAGGAGCGCTGCTCAAACAATACCACTTAAATACCAGCACCAAAACCCACTACAACAACAGCAAAAGAAAAATATGAAGTTAGGGGATCGAGGAAGGAAAAAAAGAAGCATTGCCCCAACAAAATTAAGTACTTCCAAAACGCAAAGAAGATCTACTCTGGAAAAAAAGCGTAAGGATGTCCGCAGCGCAGCAGCTCCGATGCAGCGCGCCTGTAGCACCTAGCACAGCAAACCGCACGCTCAGACCCGCTGGCGGCCCCCGCTGCCGGCGCGGCCCCGGTAC